TTTCATTCAAAATCCATAAAAAAAAACTCTTCTGAAAGTGTTACTCCATCTGGAAAATTTGAGATAATGACACTTTTCTTGTTTTATCAAAACTTACTGCTCTTTTTAGAACAAGAGAAAAGATAAAATATTTATTTATTACTTCTATGAAAATCGGATGTAATCGTCTCATATCATCGGGGCTAACCCCCCTCTGATATGAGATGCTTACATCTAATACATAGAGGTATTCAGAATTAAGAGTATAGCTAATCCTGATTGGTTGATATGTGCGCCCGTTATTTTTTGTTATTAGAGACTTCGTGCATTCTGCATTATACCAAAGGCCAAATAAATTATTTTCCTTAGCCCTAACGGAACTGAGATGTCTTTTAAACGCTAGGATGAGACACGTATTTTTAAGTGCAAAATTGATAGGCATGGGAGATAAGTACAAATTACGCTAAGAAAAGCAACGCGAACCTATATTTTTTGGACCAAAAAATACTGTCCTAATAACTTTTCTTTAATTCTAGCAAGGTTTCGTTAAAAAAATCAACTTTCTGAAGTCTGTATCTCGAAAAAGGCTATCATTGTCGCCTATGGGAAAATTAATTGTTTATTTCAATCTTTATATAGATGATTGATGGAATTCTAAACTTTTATTCAGACGGAACAGATCAGTTATCAATCTTCCTTATTCAAATTATTCATTAATGCTCCGTTTTCTCAGTATAATTTTATACTTATAGAATCTGAGACTTATGGATGCACATTTTTGCATGTATAAAATTGATTTTCTGGGACTCGAGAAGAATTATGAAAATAATTGTAAAACTGTGCATTTGAATTAAATCATATGGCAGAATTATGAAAAATATTGCAAAACTGTGCACTTGAATTACATCATCGCAGAATTATGACATGAAATAATTGTAAAACTGTTCAACTGAGTTAAATCATTGAAGAATTATGAAAATTATTGTAAACTGCACTTGAGTTAAATCGTTGCAGAATTATTAAAATAATTGTAAAACTGTGCATTTGAATTAAATCATCGCGGAATTATGCAAATAATTGTAAAACTGTGCACTTGAATTAAATCATCACAGAATTATGCAAATAATTGTAAACCTATGCTTTTGAAATAAATCATTAAAGAATTATGAAAATACCTAATTGTAAAACTGCACTTGGATATATTGAATCATTGCATAATCATACAATAGAAAATGCTAAACTGTGCAATTGAATTATATCATTGCAGAATTATGAAAATAACTGTAAAACTGTGCACTTGAGTAAATCATTACTGTGTACTTGAATGGCGTCATTGCAGAATCGTGAAGGCACTGGCTACGATTAACCGCAAAAGGTAACAATAAGAAATAATCATTGTTTCTTCCGAGACTAATTGCCAAAATGTATTTCCGGACAGGGACCAGATTTACGTCTTTTTTTTTTGTGTAGCATCGGGATACTTTGTAGTGTCTTCGTGTCATTGCCTCGTATACGTTGTTTTACATATCTGAACAAATTTATATGAATAGAAAATTGTTCATTGAACACAGCAATGATAAATTGAAAGCCCATTTATACATATTTAGAATTCTGTTAGCTATTTATTTGTGGGTACTTCCTGTATATCCAGTATGTAGCCCTAATAGCAGCCTTAGGTGGCATTTTGAGGCAAACACATTTCAGTTGGTACGTCTCATGATACATCACACTAAACAGTTCTATTATGATACGTCCTTCCTCAGCGATATCTTGTTTTTTTCCCAAAGAATGATTGGAAAAATACTTTTGATCCGATTGAGATTGATGTTGCAATTTTGTAGGAAATATCTCAACTGAAACAAATATTTCCTCTGAATAGGAATAGTTAGTTGTTTTAATCGACCCCCTAAGACAAAAGAGATCGTCATATTGGTCAATACATCGCCGTAATGTCTGTCATGAAAGTCACGTCAACCAAATATAATAAGTAATTTTATAGGTTGTCAATCTAAAATCATATACATTCAGGATCATTCATAAGAATATTTTCAAAAAGCGTCGAAGAATTTGGACAAAAAGATGTCCTATTTGTTCGATACAGAGAAACGTCAATAAAGGCATTACCATGAGAAAAGATGCATGCTAATTGAACAGAAATAAAAGAAAAACAGAAAAGTTCGTTTACTACCAGCAGAGACATATACTAGTATACGCATATGTGTATATATGTCTCTGCTATCAGGTAAAACAAAATCCGTGTCATTAAGAGGTCAAGTCCTATATTAATAAAGAATGATTAAATACGGAATCAATTATAAATAATAATAGTTACAATATATTTATGTTTCATTAGAATCCGTATTCTCAAATGTCATATCTTATTTCCGTAGAATTACATTACATATAAGTTTCATTAGAATCTGTAAATTTGATTGGCTGACAACAATTGTGAGGCACTGAAAGAACCTAATTTATTTCCGTATTTTAAAAGTACAACAGCTATATGACTGCACGTATCCGTGCCGATGTTAAAATAATTCATTGAAGAACAAACGAAAAGCTTGATAGAACACTTATTTTATGATTGTAGCATAAAATGTAATTGTAAGAATTGAATGCTTCTTTTTAAAATTTTATAGGGTTGTAAAAGCGTTGATCGTGCGCTTATTTTCAATATGAAGCGCTTGCGCGTTTCCTTCAAACCAGAGACATACAATTATGAGTATACATCCCTTCTCAAGAAGAAGATGTGGTATGATATGTGTCAACAAATTGTTATTCACCGAAAAAAATACCAGACATAATGGTAGAACTTTTCCGTTTTCGAAAATACGGCAACAGTCTGATCTTTTAACAACAGATTTGTGTTCGTGACACAAAATAGTCGCACTATGTATGCTGAAGACAAGTCCCTGAGAGTATAACAGATTAAAAAAAAAAACCAAAATACACTGTCTGTTCAATAGAAGATGCAAAAGTTGGAGTTTTAATGATAGTAAACGTAGCATTATGCTTTTGGTATGTGCTTCCGTCAGTCAATTCCGTGTATTTGTGGTCACATCGACTTGAGACTTATTACACATGCCAATTCAATATGATGGAAGAGAGGTAAAAGATACCAAAGATATACTCAAACTAATTAGTCAAAAATAAACTGACAATGCCATGCCAAAAAAAAACGACCAAAAGACAAACAACAGTACACAAAACACAACATAGAAAACTAAAGACTGAGCAAAACGAACTTCATCAAACACCGGGGGTGGTCTTAGGTGTGCCGGAAGGGTAAGCAGATCCTGCCCCACATGTTGCACCCGCCGTGTTGCTCATGTATGTACAAACCTGATTCGATAGGTCAAATTCGAGGAAAAGAGGATGGGATTTTTGTAACGACAATTTGAACATATCCATCGTTATCTGAGAAACAGATATTCCATAACGGACAACCAACTCGTGATGGCGTCCTTAAATTATAGACGGGATGATTTCAACTTCACAACTTGGTATTTTCAGTTAAATGGCCTCCTTGTAAGTAGCGGCTCTCTACGAGGAAAAAAATAAGCAAATGCAAGCTCTGGGATATCGTATCAACTGGGAGATTTATACTCCATATGCTGCTAGAATGTTGCTACATAGAAATGGAAAGTTAATAATTGGGAAGCTGAAATCATCTCCTTTGTCGTGAAGTTTTGTTGTCAACCGACCCTCATTGTCAATTTTTAGATTATGAGGCAGACGTAGCTGTATCTGTTGTATCCTGTTTTTCAAGTTCGATGGAATAGATGCGTTCAGAATAGTCACCAAACTTCGATTTTTTTTAGTGAGAGGACATCATCTGCATAGATGAACGTGAAGTCAAAAGATAATTCTAGTTTGTTTTCAATCTTCACACAATTGGTGTCCTTGAGAATACCGATTGTTTGTTGAAAAACACGTCATCCAAACGTAACAAATCTGTTGTCAATCGAGTATTTCTTTAAATTCCGGAATAAACGTTTAAAACTTCATTGTCAATACCTTAAAATGAAGTGAATAAAACGTTTCTCAAAAGTCATAAAGCAGTGTCAGATCAAAACAATGCCAAAAGATAAGCAGAAGAAAAAAGAAGAAAAAAGAAACAAACAACAAACAACGTCTTTAGAAAACAGATTCAGAATTTGATGTGAAGAAATTAAAAATATACCGAAAATTACGGATATGAATTGGTATACATTGGTGAAAAACAAAAGACAAATCGAAAGAAATTAGTTGAAAAACATAGTTTTATGAATTTCTGTTGTGCGGTTTCAGAGGAGTTGCGATGACAAGAACAGGACTGACGGACAGACGTACGGACGGATGGGTCAAAAACATTATACCCTACGGAACTTTGTTCCGTGGGGAAGTTCCGTGGGGCATAATAAGATTAAGTTTGTAGAAACAAATGCCAACAATTAATAGCATCATACGTTTCAAAACATTAAGATATGAAGATCAAAAATCACAATATCGAATTGGGCGAACTTTAATGTAAATTTATAACGGATCATCTATATATAATGGTACAATGATACATGCTGAAATCTATATGGTCGATTCTACGTACCATATGATCCTCCATGCCTTTTATTTAAAACTAATGCTGTGTTATGGGATTTTGTCCGTTCCAAAACCTTGGTCGCTTTATCGGAGAAATAGTGTTATTTTCTGCCAAATATGTAAAACGAAGCAAAATAGATGTTATCATTGCAAACTAAGATGGGTGTTATTTTATCTTTTTCATGAAATATTTGCAATGACAATCCCTTGTTATTTTTCAAATTATCAGTTACTTAAAAATCACTTTAATAATCAAAGCTCTTATAAAGTGCTTTTTTAACGAAATGTTACTAACATTATGCAGCATTATTCTAAAATGACAGTATGTTTATTAATTTATGTCACGCAAACAGAATATCAGGAAATTTATTTAACTTGCCAAAAATGTAACACCTTGTAAAAATCAATTTACAGTCCATGTATATAAAAGACATTTCAAACAAGGTTATCAAACTTTCGGAATGCACATTTTAGACATCAAGATGATTTTCTATACGGCTATATGGCTGATTTTCTTCACTGGAAACAATTTTGCAGAAACGACATCAGGAAAGGACTGCGCATCTGGTATAATATTCTTTAAATTATATCGCTTTAAATTATTTCTTAAATTGAAAAGAGAACATGCGACAATTACAAGACAATAACTCTTCACCCTGTTAACTGTCTTTTCTCCTATTTTTGACCGTACAAAGTTAAAATGAGGGCTGGAATATTTTTCAGGAAAAAAAAAAACAATGGTACTGATGAGATACCATTTTATCTTACCTCCTATACACTTCTAGGAATATGATTGGTTAAAAGCAACCGCGTGGAGACCGTGTATATTTCATATTAGGTTAGTAGGCGGGGCTTATTTCAATACACGGTTAGTAGTGGTGTTACGTCCCTTTATAAAAACAACACGGTGTTGAGGAAAAATCTGAAAGGTTTCAACAGACGAAGAAATTGATGATAAACGATTGAAATAAATTCATAAAACACATTTAAAGGTAACAAGTTGTTATTGATGGCATTTGTTTTTGTATAGACAAATGGAAGTAGGTTCTAAATACTAAGTATCGAAGACTTAATCACTTTGATAGGTCGCTAGTCTAAATACCACATGTTAAGATAGTCGGTAAGATAAATTCGTTACACGGTGTGCTAGTGACCTAATACGATATATATGGGGTCAGTAAATTCCATTCGGGGATTCGAGCTTCGCTCTCACCCCATATGGAATTTACTGACCCCATATATATCGTATTAGGTCACTAACACACCGTGTAACTAATAATGTGAGAAACTATCGTAATGTTGTTATAATTCACTATTTCCTGAAATCAAATTATTTTCTAGCTGTTACTTTTTCTGGTGAAGCAGCGAATAAAGTCGTTGAGTTGCTCTCTGACAATTGTGCGTGCAAAACAGTAAAAGAAAAACCAAAAGAAATAGTAGACCAAGATGAAGAACCAGAATCCTCTTGCACAGGTATGAAAGCCATTTATTTATATTTTTGCAAAGTAACTGATAAAACATACATGCGTTCCTCTGAAGTGTTTATGTCGGATAAATAAAAATATTTCAGATATACGAATAGTCATCAAAGCCAATGTCTTGAATAGTAGTAACATACTGTTTGACCCGAAGGTTTCAAATATTCGGTTTTGGGTGTTTCTGGTGTAGTTAAAACCTGAGAAACGACTGGGACGCATGAAGTTTATAGAGTTTTTTCATTTTTTTTTTTGTGAACACAAAGTTTGGTAATAACTCTGTTTGTTCTTTGTGTAGTGATATCAAATTACAAGGTATCAAATTACAAGTATCAAATTACAAGTATCAAATTAAATAATTTGGTTCACCATGATAATTTAAGCATCAAGACATATGTGGACAAAAACGTCAATAGTGTTTAAACATATTAATATATATATTTTTCAGTAAAAAGGCCTGTTGATTGTGGTGACCTAGACAAATCAACTTGTAAAAGTGGAATTTACAAAATTTTCCCTGGTAAAACGTCTGGTTTCAAGGTTTTCTGTGAAATGAAGAAACATGGTGGGGGCTGGACTGTGAGTTTGAATGGAATACTAGATAAAAAAAATTAAACAGATATTGTATATAATTAACTAAGAGTCAATGTATCCCCCGAAAGGAATTTTTATTGTTTATATCTGAAAAAAGCTTCATTTTAAATCATGGCTTGTTTTTCATTAACATTGTCATAATTAATTATTATTATTATTATTATTATTATTATTATTATTATTATTATTATTATTAATAACTATAATATTATTATAATTATTATTATTATTATTTGTTTAATATCCCACTAAAGACTTTTTTTATTTAGTAATTGAATGCTATAACATTTTTCATTGTGATGCTAAGATTCAAATGAATTGTACGTCTATCTGAACATGGTTTTTATTTGTTATGATTTTCAGGTTTTTCAACGCAGAATGAACGGAAAGACAAATTTTTATAGAGACTGGGACACTTATAAGAAAGGATTTGGTAACCAGACTGAAGAATATTGGTTGGGTAATGAATACATTTACAGATTCAATATCTTTTTTGTTATTAAAGTCTCACCACTTGTATAACATTATACATTCCAATACACATGCATATAACATAAAACATTGGAATACACATATAAAACATATTGTATATTAAAACTAACAGTAAAGTATCATTAGCTTAAATACTAAAACATATACAAACGCAATACATATATATATAAAGAGTTTTATTTGTAAGTTTCATCAGTTCAACTGCTGTCATATTACTCATAAAAGAAACAAATATAAGAAATTTCCTTTTAGATTCTTCTTCTTAGCTTGATAGACGTATATCTAAAGGTTTAAACTATTAAATTGTTCTTAAGTCATCGCGTGTTTTATCTATACTTTTCTTTACACCAATCAATATGCTTTATATTTGAAAAAATACTAAAATGCTTTTCTACATTGTATTCCTAAATAAAATTCATTCTGCATATTGCACAAAATCATTTTTTCGTGTACTGTTTGTGGCGTTGCATGCAGTATGATTGTCTACTCCAAAAAAAATCAGTATAGAACAGCTTGATTTAATATCAGCGATAAATATGGTGGCATATTTCTCCCATCGAGATAAATCTGAGTTGACATAATTTATCTCGATAAGTCAACATAAATCAGGTATTTTGACGACTTATCAGGATTTTATCTCGACAAGTCATCAAACTTTTTCACAATTTATCTATATAATTGGTCAAGATAATTATACAGTTATCGTGATTTTTTATGCCAATGCCAATTTGTAACATCGACATAAAGAGAAGTCGTGATAGAAGTTTAGTGTATTTAAACAAATAGAACGACTTTGACGCTAATTTCCGAGAAAAACACGAGATATTATCTCAACAATTCACGATATTTTAGTTATTTCGAGTGATAAGATAAAATATCGTGAATTGTTGAGATAATATCTCGAGTTTTTCCCGAAAATTGGCGTCAAAGTCGTTCTATTTGTTTAAAAACATTAAACTTCTATCACGACTATCATTTATGTCGATACTACAAATTGGCATATATTGGCATAATAATAAAACATAATTATTTTGACCAGTTAAAAACATTATCTAGATAAATTGTGAAAAGATTTCATGACTTGTCGGGATAAAATCCGTATAAGTCGTCAAAATAGCTATTTTATGTTGACTTATCGAGATAAATTATGTCAACTCAAATTTATCTCGATGGCAGAAATAGACTTCCGTAGATAAGTGATTTTTTCCTCTTTACAGTTATTATAGGCATCACGGTTTTGTTTGTACTGTTATTTATTTGCTGTATTATAGAGCTAATTATGGCGCGAAATCAAGGCCAGGATTATTGATTTTAGCAATACTAAATTGTATTTCAGCATATGCTAAATGCATACCTCTTGAGTCGGATACCTTTTCATTGGTTGTTTTTGTTATATATATATCGGATGGTTTTTTTGTCATTTAAATTCAAAGATTCTAGACTTTGGGCGATTTAGATCTTAAAATAGCTGATAGAAGGCTGTGTTGCTGTATTACAAGCAAATATCTGAAATGTCCTTTTATTACATGATTTTTTTTATTATGAGTTGTCGTTTTTTTAAATAACATATGGTCACTTAAATTAGAAGTGTCTATATAATTGTCTCTAAATTAACGGAATCACTCAAAGATCTTCAATTAACACCTAATTCTCCAAAAAGAAAAATTAAAATATGTAATAAATAGTTCATATTAATTTTAATTTACACTAGGTAACGACCATCTGCATCAGCTTACCTCTCAAGGAAAATACAAAATGAGGATTGATATGGAAGATTTTGAAAATAACCAAAAGTATGCCTTTTATGAGAAGTTCGGCGTTGGTAGCGAAAGTTCTGGGTATATTCTAGATGTTAGTGGTTATTCTGGCGATGCAGGTAATTAGCTTTACATATTTCTGAACCTTTCAAATTTCGGATTGTATTGTCAACCCATATCTTTGTTTACTTTTCTTCTTTAACTCTCAATTTGATGTGGAAAAAAATGTCTGTTGACGTAATATTATTACATATTTTTGTAGATTTCAAGTTTACAGTTACTTTCAAAATTAAATCTATACTACACGAAAGAATGCCATTTTACACGTATTGGCCATCGTTTCAACAAATTAGACTTTAAGACATGTGTTTTGACGAAAGTAAACTTATTAATAATAAGCTAAAAGCTTGTAGTAGAGTGGTTGTCGTTGGTTCATGTCTGTCATATTTGTTTTTCGTCAATTGTTTTGCTATACACGCATAAGGCCGTTATTTTTCTCGTTTAAATTGTTTCATATTTTTCATGTATAGGGGCCTTTTATAGCCGACTATACGGTATGGCTTTTCTCATTGTTGAAGGCTGTACGATGGCCTATGATTACTTATTACCACTTTATTTTAACTCTGGTAGATAATTGTCTCATTGGCAAACATACCACATCTCCTCATTTTTATATTAAAGCTCTAAGGCATATACATTTTCAACCTAGTAGTCTCAATTCTAATGATACTGGTGTTTCGGTTTGAAATGATTTCTTAAAACCTTGGAGGTAAAAAAGGGAAGAAGATACAAAATATTTTTAAGTTCAGGAGGAGGATTGAGCGCTCATAAACATGTTTAATCCCGCGACATTCTATATGTTCATGTGTCATGAGCTTGTTATCCAGTGGTTGGCGTTGGTTTTTGTCTCCTATAATTGTTTTTCATTTACGCATAACTCAGGCCGTTTGTGTTCTGTTTTGAATTATTCCACATTGCGTCACCCGAAGCCTTTTATAACTAACTACATGTTTGTATATACAGTATAAAATTTACTCATTGTTAAAAGCCGTAAGTTGGCCTGCAGTTGTTCACATCCTTGTCCTATGGGTTTTGGTGGAAAGTTGTTTCATTTGAAATAAAGCCACGCTTGCCTAGTTGTTTCATTGGAAATAATGCCACGACTTCTTAGTTATTTCATTGAAAATAATGCCAAACCTGCCTAGTTGTTTCATTGGACATAATCAGCCATACCTGCTTAGTTGTTACATTGGAAATAATGCTAAGCCTGCTTATTTTTATATTCAAGATGGCAAGGGACGAGGTGCAAATAAAAACAAGTTTCTTTAAGAGGCATTTTATATCAATCCGAAATACTCACTTAACCCATTGAATATTTTAATAACATTAAATTGCTAAAGGATAGACAAAACAGATTCGATATGTCAACGGAAAAAGTAATGAATTGTTCATTTATTGTAACAAAATATTTTTACATACGGATACATAGTTTCATAATTAACAATGCCATCATTGTTATGAATTTAGATATGACGAGAATATGAATTCCCTTTGTAACAAATATTTTATTATTTATATTATAATCAGGAGATTCCATGGCAATGCAGAATGGGCAGAAATTCTCTACAAAAGATAGAGATAACGATAAATGGAGCAGTGCATGTGCAGTGCAGTTCAAGGGAGCTTGGTGGTATAATGCATGTCACAAAAGCAACCTTAATGGTCTCTACCTGAAAGGGAAACATAAATCACATGCTGATGGCGTCGAATGGTACAACTGGAAGGGTCATTACTACTCACTGAAAGAAACAATCATGATGGTTCGCAAAGCCTAGATAGACGGATCTAAATGAGGGTCAATAAATATTGAAATTTCTCATTTTGACTTGACTTTTATATTTACCTAATGTATCTATTAGCATATCTGATTATGCATAGTGTCTCAATATCTTATCTGACGGATTAATTGAGCTATTCTTATCACTTGACGACAGTCCACGTCACTGAGTCGTCTGTTTTTTTGGTGTTTTTTTTTACAAAAATCTCCTTTAAAACTACTTGGCCAATTGGAACCAAACTTTACCACAATCATCATTGGGGTAGTTAGTTTAAAATCTGTGTCCGTAGATCCAGCCTGCCAACAAACATGGCCGACATGGCTAACATAGAGCATAGGAGGTAAAATGTAAGTTTTGTCTATAATACTTAAAACTGCAATAGATTGAGAAAATCTGATATGTGGCAGAAATTTTCAGAATGACGAGATCAACCTATTGTCCATTTACACCAAAACTGTCATACGACTATTTATAGGAGTTATTGTCCTAAAATGACGATTTTTACCATTTTTTAAAATAATGGATAGGGTGTTTCAGTTCATGTCAGAAAACCACTACATTAAAATGAGAAACCCAAAAAGCAAAGAAACATCAATTTTTTGCTGTTCTTCATCTGAAAGTTGAATGTCAATAAATATGTTCTGAACAGATATATCATTTTAAGGAGAGGTATTTACGAAAAGAGAGAAAAGGTAAAATTCCTTCAGGTGCTAGGCGAAGTAGATTATTTCTCAAAACTGATCTTTTTCGCAAATATCTCTCCTGAACATGATACATCTGTTTTATTACACTGAATAATAATAGGAATGGTAGATTTAATTCCGTTATTCTTTGCTACCAAAACGCTTGTGAAAACACATTTGATAAAACGCACAAATGATCATCCTGGCAAGTATCACAGAGGGTAAAAACAGCATTCATTAGCCTTGTGCATATATCCTGGAAGTGTTGAAGTAGAACTGCCTTGAAGAAACAGACCAAAATAATTATTGCAGAAACTGAAGACCGTAGCTTTATAAACTATATAAAATTGTTTTTCTAGTTTCATATCATAAAATTGAACTTGGATACACTCATATTTTTTCTCGAAAAATTCTGAATCCTTGAGTGAAAGTGAATTGTTACATCAAGAAATATGGAAAAGACTTAAAAAGTCTATATAAAATCTTATGTTTACTTTGTTCACCAGCCCAATATCTCAGTACTTCAGTACTGGAATAGCTCAGATTCCATGTCCAATTTGGCTATACAACTAATGTTGGTTTTTTTTTGTATCAGCTCTTCGTCACTTGTATTAGGTTTTGGATTGACAAATATTTAGCCTACATGTTTATAACCCCATTGAAGAGACATTGTGAAGGAAAATTGATACTTTAAAGTTATAAAAACTAAATTTCCTCCAGTTGTTTTTATTTTTTTCAGCCATTCTGAGAACAGGTGTTAGGGGTAATCTTTTCTGTGAAGTTTGACCAATTGTGCAGTGAAATTCGATTGGGCCAAACAAAATTTGGTTATAATTTCCTGACCATTCCTCAGGTTTTCTTTTCAAATTCTTGGACAGAAATCTAACTTCTTCAAAATCTTTTACCAACATATATCATTCTTGATTTTTTTACAACGTGTTTCTAAGTTAGTAGTGGAGAACTTCAAGAAATGAAATTTTGACAGTAGTGCCCTATGGACATTTTTTTCTTTCCATTATTTTCAAATATTAGTATCATTTATTTCCATACAAATCATGGCAAACAAATTTAGATAGCCTTATATTAAATCAAGCAGTGATTGGGGGAAAAAGGGAATCAGTTATCAAATTTCGAGTCAATTTGAACGTGTTTTTGGCATCGTTGTATTCTTTTGTATTTTATATGATTTTTAAAACAAACAAAATTTACGTTTTCAAAAATCTATCACTTGCAACTTCACTTCACTTTCACACTATTTTTCCTTTTCTCGATATTTGACGTTATGCGTGCAAAATGTATACATATATGCTGGACGAACTGGGGGATTTGAGGGATATATTTCATATAAAGAAAAATTCAGAGAACTAGAATTCAGTCAGATCAAATATATAAATTTCAGCCGGTTTTACGGTTAGTTAGCTGGTTTGGTTGAAATACGAAGCATGCTATACTGTGCATTGACTATCAGTCGTGAAACTAAGCTTCTGCAACCGAGACTGTTTTTATGTAAAGAATCTTTGGAGAAACATCTTTAACTGTCTGTCTTGATTTGTACAATCCTGACGACAAAAGTTAATTCTTTTCTGCAATAGAACAAATTATATCCCAATAAATTAATCAATGGTCAATCAATGGAAGACTTACCCGCGTAAATAATTGTTCCTTGTAAAATGGGATATGACAAATTGATCTTAAGGTCAACAATGGCGTTCAAATTGGATCATTTTTACACAGGAAAGTAAAATGTATAATGTCAACTATATATTTAATGTTTAAGTGTCTTATCAGAAAATTGTTATTGATATTATAATATAAGCAAAGGCTTGACCCCCCCAAAAAAATGTTGTGAACAAAGATGAATTATAAATATTTGTAAATGTGTGTAACATATCTTTTTGGGTGGATTAATCCTTTGCTCATATCGATTTTGTCCAAAACCCATGTGCGAAATTGCCAATTTTATAGGTCAAATGTGTCAATTTCGACATGTTTATGACGTCGTCGAGACTTCACAAGTGACGTGTCCAGATTAAATAAACATGTTCATTTATCAATAAAATAAGCATGTTTTTGAAGGGCTTGTATAATTTTACTTTTTTTGCATTTTCAGGGGCCAAATAATGGCTCATATCATACTTAATTTGTACTCGCTACAGAACAGGAGAAAAGATCGGCGAACTTCGCTTTATTGCTGTTTATAAAGTTCGCACAATTTTTTCTATATTTTTCGACATGTACGTCGTACAAGATATATCATATTTATTTATTTGCTTAGGAACCAAAGTGGCCGAGTGGTTAAAGTATCACTAGCCTGTCAACACTCAGGTCAGTAGCCGTTGCGTTTGACTTTAATCTTAATTGACTAGGTTTGTCAGTTTTCGGTGATTCTCTCCAGGCACTCCGGCTTCCTCCACCATTAAGAGATATAGCCATTCTTGCTGAAAGTTGCGTTTAACACAATCAATCAATATTTGCTTCTTTGGTCTTGTACGATAACAAAATTGAACGACTTGACATAACGATTTATGAGTAGGCTACTTTTTATTGCACTAACTTAAGGGGTTGTGCAAAAGTTAGTGCAAAAAATACAAAACTTAAGAAAATTGTAAACTTCGTCCACTTTAGATTCGACAAGTTATAAACATTCTCAAATACAAAGTTATTGACACTATACAATAGTGTCATTTAAAAAGTCTTTATTTTGAATACTATTAAGCATACATGAGGATGGGTGGATATTGTTCAACTTACATATCGCATCACTTTTTAATTAACCAAAAATTACTAACCTGAAAGATATCTTTGTATGTTAAATTAAGTGTAAACAAGTTAATTAAGCATACTTGTTTACTTCATTTTTGTTGAAATAGTAGATTTTAAAACCACAATACTCAAATACCAGCATATTGTATATAACAATAAGCAGCTTAACACTTAAACATTTGTAATCTAATAGCAATTTTATCTCTCTTGAAACCTGCGACAACGATAGATGAAAAAAACTTCCAAATTCCTTATTTCATTTGTGTTACAGCTAGTAACAGATAATAGTGAGAAATCACTAAAAATTTGGAAGGTTTACGCAGGACTGAGCTCACCTTCGATTATGTCAGTGAAATTTACTGTCGACGAATTGTTGCCCGAAAAAAAAATAGTGCCTGCATACGCTATTTAACTTGTGCGTGGTACTAGTGGGAAAAATGTTTGTGGTCAAAACTTCTACATTGATTAAAATTTGGGACATAAAATTAACCCAAAAAAAGTTACGAGTAAAGGGTGACAGTGTTTCATGAATGACAATTTTTGGATGATTCCTTAGGTTCTGCATTTTTGTTCCTTATTCTTGACCACATATTTATTTGACTTTATTGTATTAGGGAGCTACCATTTGATTTTTATGGGGGGGGGGGGCTAGGATGAAAAATTTTGTCCTGCATTTTTTTAGCTATAATCTCTGTCCTGCCTTTTTATTTTTCACTCTATTCGGTCCTGCCTTTTTTTTTTTAGTTTATCCTGACTTTTTTTTTTACCTAAATTGTCGTCCTGATTTTTTTTTTTGCAAGTGTCTCATCCTGCCTTTTTTTTACTCAAAACTCCTGTCCGGCCTATTTTATTCAAATTTCATCCTAGCCCCCCCCCCCCCCCCCCCCCCCCATAAAAATCAAATGGTAGCTCCCTTATCTCACTTTTTGTTGATAATTTGTATATAACTATCTTGATTACAGAAAGCAAAACTCACTTTTTCGCCAATCAATGTTTAGTTCGTATGACTTAGAGGCTCTAAATAGTCTCTGCCGCTCATCTAGGTCTATGTGCATCTGCAACAAGGGACATTGTAGACAAGAACATATAAATTCATGCCTAAAATTTCTTTTTTGTGGATCTTGTATTACTAATAATTTTTTTCAGTACATGTATAGTTTCTCTTTATCTGTTATAGATTTTGCCCAAAGCACAAGACGTGTAAAATTCATCATTTAGGAAAATAGCTCCAATAAGATGACACCAAACAATTTCCTCTATGCTGACCTAGTTTAAGATCCTGTCGTACTGATCAATTTTACTTTCTATAGTTTCTATCTATCTATTATAGTTTTTAAGATAAAAGGATAGGCAAATTGGTTAGAATTCACATTCAAGGGCACTAACTCAGTTATAGAGTTGACCAATGATTTCAGCAATATTGACTTATTTGTAGATCGTGCCTAGTGGGTCAGTTTTGCTATTTAAAGTTTATTTTATTTTATTATAGTTTCAACAAATGTGAAAATTGTCACTAAAGGGCAATACCGCATATACGAAGTTAACTGACAATTTCATCAATATTGACTTATATTTGTAGATCTTGTCTTGCTGGT